GATGAGGATTTTCTCAACATAGATGAAATAGGATTATGAACAGGTATGATGTAGAAGCAGGCAGAGAGTGGCTGAGCAGAGCCCATGTGGAAAATGGGATAGGAAGGCTGTAAAGGTTTTTTATACCTTCCTTCCTCCAGAACAACAACAACAACAACAAAAGAAAATAATGATGAACAGTAGAACAGATTACATAAGAAAGAAGTGCAAAGAAAGGTGACTGACTTTGGAGAAGGAAAAAATAGTGTCTTTTGCTTCAGAAAAAACAGTTAAGGACAGCAACTGTCAGAAGAACAGACAGTATCAAATCTAATTAAGAAAAAATGGAGAACAACAGAAGTGACTAAAGATGGCAGTTAAGCAGAGGTACTGAAGATGTGCAATGCTTCAAGATACGTAAAATCAACCTTTGAAAAGATGAAAAAGGCAAGGCTGCATGTCTGAGAGGAACAAAGTAAAATGTTCAGGTGAGTGGGGACGTGACTATTTCCAAAGTGTATAATGAATTTTGTATACCTTTATTGTCATATAAATTGTGTCTCATGTATGTAACGTTCTAAAGAGAATGGCATTATTGTTTCTGCAAATTCATGGGCATTACTCTAGAAAGGAATATATATAGGGGAAGAAATCACAACATTAGTCAAGACAGTGACTACTAACAGAGAGAATAATAAGAAGTATAGAACAAGTAGAATTCTGAGAAACAAATTTGAAATAGTGAGAATAATACGTATAATAATCTAGAGAATAAAACATTGTTTTTGTTTACTAAATATTGATATGCTAACATATTTAGGAGAATGATAGAGAAACAGCTCTCAGAACTGTTGCTGGTGCCTATGACATGCACAGAAAATGGTTCAATAAAATAGGAATGAAATGAGAGGCATAAGAGAAGAAAGTGAGAATGCTTTATGTTCCTGGAACATCCTCGCAAATGACAAGCTGGGCAAGAAAACGGTAGACAGTGGATAAATTGATCTAGGCAAGACATATAAAGGAAGTTTGGAGATTTTATAGCACAAATCCTGCCAGAAGGAATTAAGAAGAGCTGCATGGTGAATATCTGCTTCTGATTGAAGCTTCTTTTTCATATGAACTGCTCAGCCATTTTAGGAGACCATCAGAGTGAGGATGGAGTGCTCAAACTAACACAACAAAGTGCAGAGAAAACACAAATGCTCACTTTCCTTTTTTCTTGATAGCTATTTATTACCTTCTACACTTCTCTGAAAATGACAAAACCACTGACTGTCAACAACACATACTTAATATGAACAAGGGGAATGCATACAGAACATAAGCATTGACAGAATTTTAGAAATTCACCGGCTCCATAATTGCATAGTACTAACTGTATAACTACTCTGTTTTAGTTTGAAGTTCTTACTAACTTAAAAACTAATAATGATTATTTTTGTTCAGTTTCTATACTATATAGAAATAGGGACAACAGTAATATACAGGTCTAAGTTTGACATCAAGTATATTATACAACTGTAATAAGTATTTAATTGCAAAAATGTGTAAACTTTATATTTATGATTTTATTTAATTTGTCTCATTTGCAAGGAGACAAGTCAAAGTGGTGTAGCAGCTTTTTGAAAGGTTACAGGACATACTTTATATATGCTGTGATATACAGAATGATTCCTGTCATTGGAGACTTCTGACTACAAAACCAGTTCCAAAGCTCTTCAGACAAAACATACATACATGCAAAGAGATAAACAGCAGTGCTACTCACAGCTCTGGTACAGCTGAACTTACTGAAGCTTCTAGATGCTTTAAAACTTACTTTGCTCAAATGTCACAAATACTTGAAAATATGTTAGGAATTTTTACAGTATTATACAGAATGGTTACAGTATTGATACTAAGCAGGGTTATATTGTTTGTTCTTTCACCTCATCTTCATACATTTCCATTGTCATCTTGTTGTGAAACAGATTTCTGAACAGTAACTGATTATCCCCCCTTTTCAAAATGTTTTCCCCTTTACAAACATTAAGGATAAATTTTACCCAAGTGGGCATTTCAGCTTTAAAGTAATTGAAAACTACTTTATTATGAAATCAGATACTGAGAAACTTTATGTTCCCTACTCACATGATTAAAGGAGAGATTTTTAATTATTTTTTTTTCTGGCTAGAAATGGTTACAAAGCATTAGAGTGTTAAGCTATATATTCATTCTTCAAGTACCTTAATTAATGATTTGTGCCATGGAAAACTTCATTCTTGCCTCAGTGACCTTCTTCACAGAAGAATAATTTCAAATGGGAGATTATTTTCTGCAGGTAATAATTTTGGCAGTTTGGGTCTGTATGCTAACTCTCATAATATTTCTCTTTTTCATGGTTTGGGTCACAATACATTTTTGCCAGGACTATAACAATTTTATAAACAAAAACATATTGTAGAGAAGTACATAGGAGATATTATTCTGAAGAACTATTGTCCTTAACAGCCTCTTTCTAATTAGCTTTTATATTTTTTTGTTTTCTGTAAGCTTTCTCAGAAAAAAATCCCAACATTATTATATACCAGCATGTCCACTCAGTAAGCTGTTTTTCCAATAGGCAGCCTTAGTTCTTCATTAAGATTATAGGCTAGCTGAGGTTCAGGGTATTATTACTTGATGAAAGGCAGTTCAACATCAAAATCTCAGAATCTTTTCTCTGTAAGTTTCAAAACCATTCACATTTATTGATATTTTTCAACTTTACAGAAACTTAATGGAACTTATATTCCAAACTCACACTTGTGCTTTTGAAAACATCTTCCATGATCAGTAAGTTAATGGGATTTAACTTAGTATATTAATTTTTCAATATAATTACAATGTTTTCTTATTAAATACTCCAAGCAGGCAGAGGAAGAACACAGCCTGCTTGATAGCAAATAAGTGGAATTCTTGGAGTAAGTCTTCAACTAATTCACTCAGTGACATTGGATGGTTACTGAACCGGCAGTTTTAAAAGCCATCAGCTAAACAGAGGTATTTAAAACACTTCAAGGAAAAGATTTACATGGCCTGTAGGAGGCTCTGAATCAGCCCACAAATGGCTGGTTAGTAAAATGTGCTGAATACTTGCACTAACTGCTGAAGTCAGCAACAGATGGAGAAGATGGCATAAGGCCACTCCTTCACATATCCAACTTTAGACGTGTAAGCCATGAACATTTGAGCCTAAGCTTTGCATTCCAGCTTTTCAAACAGTAAAATAAGTCTTAAGGGAATCCTGTTCTCACGTGTTACAGCGAAAATGCTATTTCATTATTCCTGCATCAGCTGTGTCACAGACAGTCCCACATACAAACAAACGCCAAACAGACCCTTTGAGCGTCTGCTCCCCTGGCAGCCCCAGCTCTCTCTTCCTGCCTCGCTTCAGCCTCCACACCCAGCTTCCAGCACTGGGCTCCCCTCCTGAGCAGCAATTTATTCCCAAACCAGCCACTTCACACCTACCCAAGATCCCAGCCTCCTTGCCCAGTCATCTTACACTATGTTGATGCCCAGCCTTCCCCCAAGTATCTCCTAGCCTCCCAACAGCCAAGTTTTGTGTCCCATTCCATACCTGGGAACAGGAGAGCCATGCCACTGAGAAAAAGACTACCAGGATTTTCACTGTAAGAAAACAATTTACTTAATTTTTGCTAAGAGCAGGACTAAATAAGGTGAAATCTTCCTTCTTATGCACAAGTGGGCAGATAAATACACAAAAGTCTTGCAAAATATAATGTTTTGCCCAGTGAATTCATATGATACTGGAAATATCATGTCTGGAAATAATATCTGCAACCATTAATCAAGGAAATTTGGGATTCAAAGATGGGGAAGGAGAGCTGGGATAGGAAGTTTAGAAAGTGTTTGAACTATGTTCAAAAAGAGAAATGTTAAGTAAGATGCACTGCCAGTTCTGCCTGTGAGGTAGAGAAACATATGCAAAATCATCATAGAAAAACAGGTAACTCCAGTGTTTGAATATTAGAAAGTAGTAAATGTATTAATATTTCCTCAGAATATGATGAACGCTTTAGTGGTAATTTGGAAACAACACCCAGCAGGAGTATTTAGAAGTGTAAATTGAGTACATATATATCACTAAAATATTCTGAGTATAACAGCATTTTTAAAATTTCAGTTCTAGTTGCATCAAACCTTATTTAATATAAATGAACTATTTAAAGTTAAGTTTTTCCCTTCTTTTTCTTGTGTGCTATAGTACAGCAAAACAAATGAGTTTGCTAATGCTCCATTTGAGTGCTTTGAAGAAACTGATATTATCTAGAACCACTTAATAAAACAGTGACTGCACATACAGTACAAATAACAAGATAAGTATTATGTTGCCTTAATGCATAAGTAAAGAATCCATTTTCTGACCATTTGCCACACAGACCATTTGCCTAATGAAATCAGCCTTCCTTCCTCTCTAAAGTACTGCTTTGTATTACCATGGCTGGATGAAAATGGCCTTTTCATTGCCTCAAACCACTCTCTCTCCTTAACACAAGGCTCAAGCTTAGTGCAGATTCAGTCATATAGCCAGCCTGATGCTGAAATAAAAAATCCCATTTGATTCTCTGAGTGAAAGGCTCCACAACTGGATTTTCTGCAGTAGGCAAAATGGTTAAACTCATATGCTGAATTCAACAGGGATATGCACTGTGCAGTTTGCCTGTATGCACCCACTGAAGGCAGAAAAAACAAGGCTCCATGACATAAACGAGCTAAGAGGAAACATTACAGCACAAATTTTGCCCACAATCTCACTGATGGTACATGTACAACTATTGGAAAATCCTGCACAAGGATAGAGAGGCTACATTCTGACCTTTCTGGGCATCTGCAACCTGAAACCCGTGGCATCACAGCAATTTAATACAGAAGAATAAATAACTTTGATTTTGTATTAGTATCTGACAAAAATTATATAGCTCTTCTCAAGTATTTTTAGTGAATTTATTTTCTTAAATTTAAAATGAACAAACCTTGCCAGTCAGCTTTGAAAGATCATCTCCTCCAATTATCTGCATATCTTGCATAGACTGATCATTCTGAAAGAAAAAAGATAAAATTTTGAAATTGGTTCTAACTGTATAAAATGAAAATATAAATGATACCTTTTTTAAGAATCTTAATTAATAGTCTTATTTATGAATATTTTCTAATGCTTGTTACTATTGGTGTATAAGAAAACCACACCCTCACTTCTTCCTGTGGCTTCCTGTATTTCCTGCTCGTTTTTAAGCCAACATCAAACTCTAGGCTTTACTAGACTAGAAAAAGTTGCATCTTTCTTTTTAAAATAGTGTTCCCTGGCTTGCTATTTCATAGTATGACAAGGGTTGAGTAACCTATTTATCCCTTTCAAAATGGGAGGACAGGAGCATCTTAACACTTGACCAAACACCTGTAAGTATGTTCTTGGTTTGAAACAGTTTTTGGAAACACAGGCTAAATGTGTTTACATGTCAGCTCTTTTTGGAGGAATTCATTTTTTTTCAAGGGAAAGAAGTTCTGCAAAATTTATCACTTACTATCAAAAATATTTTCAGTGTGTCATGGAGTTTCCAGAGCTTTGCTTATTGAACTGACTCAAAGATAAAATCCTTGAGGTCAATTAATGAAATATGACCAATCAGGTTGAACTAAATGCAACAGAATAGTATGTTGTGATTTTCCTGTTAAAAGAATTCTTTTTTTAAGAGTTCTTTTTTTTGCTGAATTTGTTTTAGAAACATTTCTAGTTGAAATTCTTCTCATGGAAAATTCTCCACCAGCTCTAGTTCCAGTTCATTATCAGCAGAACACAAAGTTAAGATCACATAAGGGAGACACGTGTAAGCCCTACTTTTAAGGCAAGACAAAAGAGGCCTTAAAGAAGGTGGCAAATTAAAAAATACAGTCATGGCCAGTCTATATGAACTTTTCAGAAAAAGCAAGAGCAGAAATAAGTATAGTTAATGTGGGTTTTTCTGCCAAATTGATGCATGAGCTAATCTAATCTTCCTACCTATAGGAAGTTAGCATTAGTCCAATTTTAATAATAGCTCCAGTACCACAATGTGATGCTGTGGTTTACTGGTAACACCAGGAAGCTTCATCATTACAAACACCTGAAAAATACACAATACTTGAATTGCCTGCTTTTATTTCACAAATCCAGTGCTCTGAAGCCAAATGTTTTTCCACAGGTAAATACTGGGACTCACAATGTGGGTAAAGATCTACTGGAGTAAGGGATTTATAGCTCTTCTTCCCCTCCCAAAGCAGAACAGGCAGAGGCAACACTTGGAGGGTCAGAGCCACCCCCTGTGCAGATGGAACCACACCTGCCCACGCTCACAGCCCAGGCAGCAGAAGTTCAGGGACTTGCAAGCACCTTTGCAGATACCTGATCACAAGAAATCTGGCAACCCCAGCAACTATTCATGGTCCTCATGTCTAAATTAATACAACCTTCCTGTATTAACTGTAAGCAAAGGTTGTAGATTTGCCCAGATGAGAATTTCTCCAAGTTTGCATTCTGCAGATCCACCAAAAGACTCCCTGGCTTTCACTCAGACTCCACTCTTCACAAAACTCCCACCCCATAGCTTTGTAAGAGGTCCTTAGCAGTCACTGCTTTAAAAGACAGCTTTTAGACCTGCCTTCACTTTTTCTGCACCGGATCTGGGAGCTTTAGATAAATTTCATGCTGCTCTGATCCGTTTCCTGGGAAACAGAGCTAGAGTAGCAATGAAGGTTACATCCCATACATTTTCTAATATAAGTTTCAATATTTATTTTCTTAAAGAAAAACAGGAAAAAAAAAAGCCCAAACAACACCAAAGCAAGCAACTGATTTCCTCAGAAGATTATTTTAAAACAAAGCAAAAAGTGGAGATCAAGAAGATTTTAAGTTCAGGCTTAAAACCGTAAGTCTTTTGTTGTAAAGCAAGACAGGTCACTCTTCAAAAGTCAGGCATGTATTCAAGTCAGACTATTATAAGACTATAAAAAGCAGATTGTTTCTAATATCTACCACAGCATGTGTAACCAAGGCACTGACAAAATATTTTTTCATTTCCAAATAAGAAAGTGTAGAATTTCATTAGCAACCAGCACACAAGAATTACTGAAGAGGCAGTTTGCCCTTAAGCTGCTAGTTGAGAAAGAGAAAAAAAGATAACAGTGAGGTGCAATGATTAATGAATTTATTTATTTTTCACTAAAAAAACCTCTCTCTTTCAACAGTATTCACAGCAGCACTGTTTCCTTTGCATTTGGTATTTCTGGCTTCAGCTGAAAGGAAGATGCTGAAATAGCATCTTCATTGCTGGCAAGCAGCTAAGCAAACACAAAAGCCATTGAGAGCAGGGGGATCACAGCATCCTGTCAATCTCTGCATTCACACATCGGCTGTTGGGACACAACTGCACACATTTATGAAAATCCTGGCGCTCTGACTGGAGAACGAGTGCCATCAAAGAACAAGGCTGAGTATTCACAGTGCCTAAAAACCATATCATTTTCTACATGGTTTTTCCATATGCAGCTCAGAACCCTCCAGCCAAGGTATTTTTCAAAAATTTAAAGAAATTCCTTGCATCACACTGGAGAGCAATTCTCTTGCTAAAAAAAATAAATTCAGGTCATTGATTTTAATGCCATTTATAACTATCTACATTTATCACTTAACTCATGTTGTAAAACACATACCTGCCAAACAACAAGGCTCAATACGACGGTGTGACATTACCCTGATCATAATGTTCACATAGATAATTTGCACACTATGGTTGCCATGGGAACCTCTCAGTGCATTTTTCTGAATTCTCAGTTTATAATCTCAAAATAACACTGCACTAAATGTTAAGTATAAAGTACAATGAATGTCAGGAAAGAAAAAAATGTTTCATTCAGTACCAATTAATGCCAATTCAGAAATATTTGTTTAATTTTCATGTTCTCAAGTCATTCAGAGCTTCTTTCTTCCTTTGTGAGTTGTTCCAACTGATATAATTGAGTCTCTGAGATTTCTTATAAATGCAGAAATATGAATTGCTTCATTTTCTTTCACCCAAAGTTCCTCAATACTTGTTTTCTAAAATCCTTAAACCCTATCAACTATTTTTTTTTTAATATTTAACATTAAATATATTGGCTTGGATAGAGATAGCTCTGAATCAGACTATATTTTGGTTAATGTAGCAAAAAATTTATTGCAGCTGTTTCTGACAAGATGCAATGCATTGTGTCACATCCCTACACCTCATCCCATGCTATATTTCTAATTTTTTTTCTGTGCTTAATAAATCCACATTTTCCAGGATAAATCTTAATTTCTTTGGTTTTAATTACTGGTTTGTGGTTTTTCACTTGTTCATCTTTGTTTTATAATTTTATTTTATTTCAGGAATACTTGATGAATTAAAGCAAGCATGTTATTTCCACCACCATTTTTCATGGCATACAAGATAAAACTTTTGCTTTCTATGTAGATTGGAAATATACATATTTAAATTCTATCTATATTAAGTCATGTGTTTTGAACTGGGTGGGGCACAAAATTATTACATCTCTTTTACATCTCCTGAGATCAACACTTGGACATAGTTCAAGTTACAAGTGAAATGAATTGGGTGGTCTCAGGAAAATTCATTATAAACAGCATTGCTCATCTGAAAATTGCACCAAACTGTGAACATCTGTTACTCTTCCGAAGAAACAGAATCTGGAGTACATTAATATTGGGCTCAGTAAAACAAAGATTCTTTAATCATGGCAAAAAAAGTAGCTTTAACAGAACAGTTTAAATGCATAACTAAATTATGAAATATGGACACAAGGTCATTATCACACATCTAATTATTACAGCCTGCAGAGTTCATATGTAATTTATTAAAAAATGTGGTTACCTTTTTCTCCCAAAATTCATTGGAGAAACTCAAAACAGAGAAGAATGTGGCCATCAGGCCGTGTTCTGTGTTGCTTTTGTTGCCTCCGGCGATAAAGCAGATCCTCCAACCTAAGAATTCCCATTAGGACAGCTCTTTCAGTTCACACCACCATTCCACCTCCTACAACTGGGTTTCCAGGAAGGTTTTAACCAAAAAAGAAGTCAATGACAGACCATTCAGTTGTCCCTTGGATCCTAGGATGTAACTAAATTGCTTTGCAACCTGCCTCCTGAGAAATACTTCAAAATATGAGTAAGTTGTTTGGGGAAGTGTTAGTATGGCATCTACAGGATCTGTTAACCTATTTTGACTGATAGTCAAAATAAAGTCAAAATAAGTCAAACTGATATATAAAGTATAGGCTATGAAATATTCTCAGTGAATCAGCAGAAGTTGAATTGTAGTATATAATGCTGTACTTAAAAACAACATACACTTGAATCAATACAATTTTGGGTTTCTTCTCCCAAGAACAACAGCTAAGAACAAAAGACCCCAAGGGTGTAGAACACGAGCTGTCAATTTTCATGACAGGCAGCTAGAAGGACTATCCAGGCTTAAGTAGGAACATTCAGAGGGCAACTAGTAAGAACTGTTAAGCTGAGTTGAGTGAACTGTTAAGACGAGTGAGAATGATATGGATCATTTCCCAGTAAAGACTGGAAAGTTTGCCTTCCCTTACCCAGAATCAAATGTATATCAAAGGCCAGACTGCAACCTCCGGGGTACACCCACATTCAAAATAGTCAAGTGCCAGGTCACTGATATATTTTTAAGAGGTGCCTTGAATACCTTGCAAACAATCCAACAATGCTGAGCCAAGTGGGAATGGAATCCAGTAAACTGACACACACCCACTGCCAGAACATCCCCCTTCCCCGCAGGGAAGTACAGGTACGTGTGCACTGAAGCACTGACAGCTTTGTGCAGCTCTCAAAGCTTTAAAGCTGCCCTCCTGAGCTGACCACACCACTGACTGTGCTGCACTGAGACTGGCCTTGCTGCTATTGCCAGGATAACAGATAATAGCAAATTTTAATTTGCTGTAGGTGTATATTTAGCAGAGTTCTAGCTACCACAGTGCAAGATACATTTCACTTCTGTAGGAGTAG